ATGAAATTGTTGATAACTTTGATGATATGAATTTAAAGGAGTCTCTTCTTCGGGGCATCTATGCTTATGGTTTTGAGAAGCCTTCAGCTATTCAGCAGAGAGCTATTATTCCTTGTATTAAAGGTAAAAGAACTTGGCACTTTTTTAAAAAAGTCACTGTTTGACATAGACCTGCACCATAAAAGGGAAAAGAACAACTTGGGGACTAGCACCTATTTGTATTCCTTAAAGTGAAATGATGGCAATCATCTTTCGGGACTGACCTGAAATGAAGAGAATACTCATTGCTGATCACTTGATTATTTGGGCATAATTCATGTTCCAAATGGAATACATGGTGTGAAGTAGAAGTGACGTTTTGATGTGGGATCGGTAAATATGTATCCTACTTTTTTTAGGGTATGATGTGATTGCTCAAGCTCAGTCAGGTACTGGCAAGACAGCCACATTTGCTATTTCCATCCTGCAACAGTTGGAGATTGAGTTCAAGGAGACCCAAGCACTAGTATTGGCCCCCACCAGAGAACTGGCTCAACAGGTATTGATAGTGTAGTTCAAAAAAACTGCTTGCGTGTTGCATAGGTTTCAGGTTTCACAACTGAAAAATTTTAAACTTAGTATAAATTGGTCCTATCAGAGCCCTCCTTTTAACTAACTGTCCATGCATGCAGGGAGTTTTTGTTGAAAGTAAATAGGAACCTGGGTGTGCAGGTACGGTTTGCAGGGTTATAATATGGAGAAACCAAAGCTTTCTGTTTAGGGTGGACTTGGATCCATTCCCATTTTTAAGTTTGAATGCAGTTGTACAACATGAAAACTGCAGTGACATGTTACCACTTGACTGTCTTCAGTAGTTTGTGATGCCTCTGGTGCATGATGTTTTCAAAGTCACTGCTGTCTATATTGGCTTTGAAGGAAACATTGCTAATAAAACTAGGCTTTGTCAAAGTCAAGAGTATATGTCACTGCCTTGTGGGAAAAGTTATCTTGTCCTAGCTGTAATTGCAGAGCTTGATCCACTGTTTACACTTTGTTACACAATGAAGAGTAATGAAGGAAATGTTTTTAGTTATGAATCTAGCTGGTACCTGGGGCAACAGGATCCCAAGTTTGACAAGGTGTAAGAAAGACAATTTAAGGGACTTTTATCTGGAAGCAGTTAGATCAGTCTGCATTTTAAGCTTGGAAGTAGTTAAGTGCGTTGCATGCATAAAAGCTGTTTGCAGACCAGATATTTGCCATTATGCTTTAGAAGTTGATTTAATCACAGCCTGTAATTCTGTTGGATAATAATTAAGGCTTTTTGCTTTTAGATCCAAAAGGTAATTCTGGCTCTTGGAGACTACATGGGAGCAACTTGTCATGCCTGCATTGGTGGAACCAATGTTCGAAATGAAATGCAGAAGCTGCAGGCTGAAGCTCCACATATTGTTGTTGGTACACCAGGGAGAGTGTTTGATATGTTAAACAGAAGATACCTTTGTAAGCATTTTTGTCTATTGAGAGCATAAGTTTTTTTGCTATTATAAATTCAAATAGTATCCCTGAGAATGTAGAGGTGATAGTATGACTTTGTTTTTAACAGCTCCAAAATGGATCAAAATGTTCGTTTTGGATGAAGCAGATGAAATGTTGAGCCGAGGGTTTAAGGATCAAATCTATGAGATTTTCCAAAAATTAAATACAAGTATTCAGGTGAGCTTTACTTTTCATCTATATGTGGAGGTGGTTATGTTTAATGCAGGTATAGTTACAATACAACTGAAGTGTTTTATTGTCGTTCCCCCTGCTTAAAGCAATTGATGCATAACTATCTCTGTCTAGCACAATTCCATAGCAAGACAGAGACGCTTGGCCTCAAACATGTTTTCTTGAGTATTTTGAAAGTTGTGCTACGTGTGTGACAACATCATTGTCTTTTTAAGGTGGTGTTGCTTTCTGCCACAATGCCAACTGATGTATTGGAAGTGACCAAAAAGTTCATGAGAGATCCAATTCGAATTCTGGTGAAAAAGGAAGAATTGACTCTTGAAGGAATCAAGCAGTTTTATATTAATGTTGAAAGAGAGGTAATGTGTCTAATTAAACATAAAAATGTAGCCAGGTTTTTTTGACCTTCTTGTATAAGCACTGTGCTAAAATTGCAGAAACTAGGATCACATCTTGGGTTTTGTAATAATGCTAGCAGAGTACACACAAGAAGAAAAGTAACTGCACTAGATTGTAAAGACTGGGGTGGACCTCTTTCTTAATGTCCAGTGTCCTTTGTCTTAAGATTTGGTGCAATATGTCTTTACCCATCTTAACAGTTAATTTCTAATGATTTTAAGTTGGAAATTAAATTGTTTTTAGTGATTAACTTTTTCTTGGAAATACTATAGGAATGGAAATTGGATACACTTTGTGACTTGTACGAGACATTGACGATCACACAGGCTGTTATTTTTCTCAATACAAGGCGCAAGGTGGACTGGCTCACTGAGAAAATGCATGCCAGGGACTTCACAGTTTCTGCTCTGGTAAGAGGTGTTCTAAGCTAGTAATGGTAATTACGATATTTATGTTTTCATTAAAGCAGGATTCAGACTACAATATAGCTGTTAAGTGCTGTGTTGTCGTTCCCCCTGCTCAAAATAAAGTTGTTTCTTAACTATACCTGTCTGTTAATACTCCTGTAGCAGCCAGGGACGCTTGGTCTCATACATATCAGTAAAATTAAATAATACTCATTTGACTGGTGATTCTGGAATTAAGTTTTGTTAATTTGCAGCATGGTGACATGGACCAGAAGGAAAGAGATGTTATCATGAGGGAATTCCGATCAGGGTCAAGCCGTGTTCTGATCACTACTGACTTGTTGGTAAGTCTCTTAACTGCTGTTTTTCTTAATCGTACCAAAAGTTGTTTTTTGGGGGAAGGTTTACAATAACCTTTACCAACTTGGACTATTTGGGAGAATAAAGAAAAGACCACGCTCCACAGTGGGCTATATCACTAAACATATAGTTCACTACTATTTTGTGGCCTACATTAGAAGTCTAGTTTAATTAGAATTTAAACATAACCATTGTATTTCAGGCTCGTGGGATTGATGTGCAACAAGTGTCATTGGTTATAAACTACGATCTACCCACCAATCGTGAAAATTATATTCACAGGTGAGTAGGTGGCACCTTGACTGTTACTGTATTGGTAAAACAAGTTCATGTGTTGCTTTTTATTCTGTCGACTGATTTGTCTGAAACGTTACCTCAACTCAGGAAATTGGTTCAGTAGACAATAAACTTGGTAGGAAGTAATTAAAATCGTACTTGGGAAGATTGGTCATGTACAGTGGGAAAACAGTTGTAAATGTTGCCCAAATTGTGGGCTTGCATACATACGGATTAGATTGCTTTAGATCTGTTGGTCTTAGCTTATTTTTGAACTTTATTTTTAGTGATGCTCTTGTGTCCATGTGCTTTCTTGGTGATTCCTTTATAGTTGGGATTTTCTTGGTGTCGTCTGGTAGCAATTTGAGCAGTCCCTGGTTTAGTTATAGTGGCTTTATCCCTAAATAAATTGAATTGTACTTTGTTATATGATGTAAAAAAAGACTTTTTAAAAAATACAGGAGTCGATAGCCGCAGTTGATGACGAGATGGCACTCAGAAACGGCGTTGACGTAATTTAGGACGTGGAATCATAAGCGAAACAGCACACTGTTTGAATAAAGAGCGAGTCGGTATTTATATTTGTTTTTCTTTTGTCATGATTATTTGATATTTTAAGTTGCTCCGGCCAAGGCATTTTTGTATATTATAGCCTATTAGGTGGTTTGTATTGTCTGGTTTCTATCAGGAAGGTAGAAAGTTGTTTTGGAGGTAAACACGTTTGAGTAATTTGAGTTACAACGTGTGAAACTGAGCAAAAAAGCAGTGATGAGTTTGGGTTACCATACCAAATACTTGTTTTCCCACTGGAAAAAGTAAGTTTTAGACAATAGTTAACCTTGTAGCATTTGTATTTACAGTTTACAGTTCCAGAAGTGCGTCGAAATGGATTGCATAACTATTCTTTGTTTTATCCCTGGTGTTTACATCTGTCCCAGGCTGACATCTGCTCTTGGCTGGCCCGCTTTGGTATGGGCTTTTAAATTTCACTACCCCAAACACAATACTGTCATCTGCTTTAAAAATAGTAATAATGCTCAAGACGCCTGATAAAATCTCATTTTGCAGCCAGACAAGCCTTGAATCCTTTTGGCACTAACTGCAAAGGAAGACTTCTTTCTCTAGATATTGATTAGCAGATAGTGCTGCAATTAGAAGCGCGAACTATAACCTTGATAAGTAAACAGCAGCTGGTGGTTAACATGGATCATCAGGTTCAGTAGCTCACACCCGCAAAAGTAACAACACTAATTGCTGGTTTCTTTTCTTACACAGAATTGGCAGAGGGGGTCGATTTGGGAGGAAAGGTGTGGCTATAAACTTTGTTACTGAAGAAGACAAGAGGATTCTTCGTGACATTGAGACTTTCTACAATACTACAGTGGAGGAAATGCCTATGAATGTGGCTGACCTTATTTAATTCCTGGGATGAGATAGTCTTGAATGCAGTGCCCGCTGTTGCTGAATAGGCGATCACAACGTGCATTGTGCTTTCTTTGGGAATTTGAATCCTGTCTCAATGCTCATAACGGATCAGAAATACAGATTTTTGATAGCAAAGCGACTTTAGTCGTGAGCTCTTGTGAGGAAAGTCATTGGCTTTATCCTCTTTAGAGTTAGACTGTTGGGGTTGGGTATAAAAGATGGGGTCTGTAAAATCTTTCTTTCTTAGAAATTTATTTCCTAGTTCTGTAGAAATGGTTGTATTAGATGTTCTCTATCATTTAATAATATACTTGTGGACTAAAAGATATAAGTGCTGTATAAAATCAGCCAATTATGTTAAACTAGCTTATCTGCCTTTACTGTGTTTGTCATTAGCCTGAATAGAAAGGCCTTTAAAATTGATTTTTTTTTTTTTAGAGAGCATTTGGATGCATTTTGTTTGGTATTGTATTTATTCAATAAAGTATTTAATTAGTGCTAAGTGTGAACTGGACCCTGTTGCTAAGCCCCAGCAAGCAATCATATTCTAGGTAGGGTTAAACCCTCAGTAAAATTGCCATATTGCACATGTCTTAATGAAGTTTGAATGTTAAATAAATTGTATATTCACTTTAAAGGTGCTTTAGTCATTTTATTTTTTAAAGAAAATATAAATTGAGTAATTTTAACAATTTTGAGTTAACTGTTGCATCACAGTAGCACAGAGGCTGATCAGTTGCAGATGTTCATCAGCACCATCTGCTAAGCATTTGTCTACTTCCTACAAGAAAAAGAAATGTTAGTAAATGTCCCTTAAATTTCCCTTTCAGGTATAAACATTTTGCTGAAATGTGCAAAAGTGCCTACTTACAGCAAATTTTTCTGTAATAATGGACTTTTGTTTATCAGAAAGGTTATCATTCTCTACAACCACATCATGAAGTTGATTTACAAGCTGAGTTGCTGCATGACCCTCATCTATTAAGTCCTGTAATGGAAAAATTGATATGTGGTATGATTTAACTTTCCCCCTCAAAGTTAATAAAGCAGTTTTACCTTTACCACAGCTTCTAGTTTGTCGAAAGAGCCACTCTGACATGCAGCAAATATTCCATCAATTGTCTCAGATGGTATTACCTAAAAAGTTAAAAATTATTTTTGGGGTGACGGGTTGGGACTCTGTCAAGCCTACACAACTCCCTTTTATTCCGTGCTTGGGTGGTTCTTTGTGCACAAAACGGCTCTCCTGATACTGAATTGGGAATGCCTGGGAAGGCAAAGGAAAATAAAAGGCTAGAAATTGAAATGTGCTCTCCAGATAATCTCTTGCCTTGGCTATGTCCAGTCACTACTATGCTGTCAGGGTGGTGCATATTCCTTTTAAAATCAAATCGGCTCTAGCGAGTGTACAAAAATTGCTTCTTTTAGTTTGGACCCATGATGATGAAATTGGATGATCAAGTTCTCCCCACTGTAACTGGCTGATAACCCAACTGCTGTAATTCCTCAAGAGCAGTGGTTAAAATCAAACAAGTAGCTTGAAAAGGAATTTTAAGGGGAAGTGTCCTTTCTCCAAGTAAAGATGCCACTAATGACATTCATTAGCCTGAAAAGACCTTTCTATCCAGAAAACAAAGGGACCAACACAAATGCCTATCAAGTTTCATTATGGTGTGAAAAATGCCTTAGGGACTCTAGGTCCTGAGGTGAGGCCTGACAAGGGAGTATCCAAAGACAAGTGGTTCTCCATTTTCTATGAGTTGAATATGCTGCTTGTTTATATGCTCGCTGTTCGTATATGACCTCTTAATCAGAATAGATTTATGAGAATGGATATATCTCTCAAATCGTTCACCACATCCCTGATACTCCCAGGTTATTTATTCCCTTATTACGCTGTTCCTAGCCAGTGACTGGCACATGCTATAAATGTGTGCGCTTCCCCCCACCCCCCATTCATGTTAAAAACCCCTAAAGGGGGTTGTGGGAGATGGGGCCTTTGGGAGGTGATTAGGTCTTGAGGGTGAAGTGCCCCTCAATGGGATTAATGTCCTTATCATATAAGAGGCCTCAGCTCCCTTCTGCCACAGGAGGAGGCAGTGAGAAAGGCCATCTATGAAATCAGGAGTCCATGAACTAGGAAGCGGTTCCTTACCAAGACACTGGATCTGTGGGCACCCTGATCTTAGACTTCCCAGCCTCCAGAACTAGGAAATGAATTTCTGTTTTGTTTATAAGCCACTCAGCCTATGGTATTTTGTTACAGCCACCTGAATGGACTAAGCACATAAGCATTCTGTATATATTTGTTGGATGAAAATTTTGTAAAAGCCACCTAAAAGAATGTCAGAATAATCAGTACTCTTACCCCAGCAATATCGGTGATCACCTTCTCTGTGACCTCCTTCCCACCTGTTAATCGAGTAGCACTTTGAAGAAATGTAATGGCTTTTCTTAAGTCTCCTTCTGACACTTTAACAAGATAAGATACTCCCTGAAAAGAAAAGTTTTTTTTTACCTTAATGGTCAGTTAGACTTTTTGGCTTTAGTAAAGAGAAAAGCACTATTATTTTAGCCTAGAAACAATTCATTTCTGTTTTTGAAGGAATATTATTGGTCCTTAGTGGAAGAATTCATGGAGATAGCATCAGTCCGATGTAAGGACAGAGACGAAATCTCTTGTCTTTGAAACACATTTGCAAAGACATATGTTCCATACTTCTCATCCTATTTTCTTGATCACATAAAACAATTCAAATAGGGTTAAATTGTTATGACTAAGAGGCCTATACCATCTGTACCAGAATTTTATACCAAATTAGTTTTTGAAGTATTAGCTAGGGACTCAAATCGTGTCATGCAGATTTGTTGTTGCAGAAGATGCATTATATGTATGAAATCTCAGTTTTGGGTTTGAAATACTATTAAACTTCTAAAAGTAACTGAAAGACTGAACCTGTAATGCCTATACATTCCAACTGTTGCTCACTTAGCTTAACTTTGCTTGAAGAATTGGCATCAGAAATTGAAACGCACATAGGACTCCTTTCAGGGCCTCTTCATAAGAATTCATCAAGGAATTAGTAATTACCTCATTGCTAATTTTGACATGTTCTTTATCAGCAATGTCTAGTAATCGCTGCTGTTGAATTTTATCTGACAGAGGTTTGAAGCGGAATTTAGAACATCTAGAGGTCAGAGGTTCAATTATTCTGTAAAAGATTGGGAAAAAAAGTCAGTGTTTAAAGAATTTCCCTCAAAGAACTCATTTTTATCAAGAATAATCAAGATTCGATGAAGAAATTAACGTAGCCTTACGTAGCCTTGAAACATTTAAGTTTTTTCTCTCCCTAATTGGGGATTATCAAAATAAGGCTGCCTAGCATCCATTGTCAGGGCAATATACATACCGACTAACATAGTTACAGATGAGACAGAATCGGGTGGTTTTAGATTCTTTTTCCATGGTACGTCTTAAAGCTGCCTGAGCAGCCGAGGTCATAGAATCTGCTTCATCCAGAATCACAATCTTAAAAGGAGGGCAAGGCTTCCCACTGATTCAGAGAAACAGAGGAGTTAAAATTTATAATTCAGATATCATTATGACAATCTAATTTTAAAACAGTTTCATCATCCCAAAAAGAAACTCCATGCCCATTAGGAGTCGCTACTCTTCCAACTCTCCCAGCCATAGGCAATCATGAGTCTACTTTATGTTTCTAAGCTTTGCCTATTCTGGACATTTCGTATAAATGGAATCATGATGTCAGTATAATGTCTTTTGTGGTTGGCTTCTTTCATTTAGTATAGTGTTTTCAAGGTTCATCTCTGTTGTAGTGTTATTACTTCATTCTTTTTATTGCCAATATGGCAAATGGATATACTGCATTTTATTTGTCCATTCATTAGTAGATATTTGGGTTGTTTCCATGTTTTGACCATTATGAATAATGCTATTATGAACATTTGTGTACGTGTTTTGAATAGATATGTTTTATTTCTTGTAGGTATATGTATACCTAGGACTAGAATTGCTGGGTTATGTGGTAACTCTATGTTTAACTTTGTGAGGAATCGCCAAACTTTTCAAAGTGGCTGCACCATTTTACATTCCAACCAGCAATGTATAAGGGTTCCAATTTCTTCACATTCTTGCCAATAGTTGTGTTATATACTGTCTTTTTTATTTATAGCCATCCTAGTGAGTGTAAAGTGGGATCTCATCATAGTTTTGATTGCATTTCTCTAATGGCTAATGATGTTTATGAGCATGTTTTCATGAGCTTATTGGCCATTTATTTGTATATCTTATTTGGAGAAACATCTATTCCGATACTTTGCTCATTTTAAAATTGGGTTGTCTTTTTATTATTGAGTTGTAAGAGATCTTTATATATTCTTGATCTAAGTGCCTTATCAGATATGTGATTTATATGCATTGTCAAATCAATGTGGCTACCAAAAATTAGTCATTCACTTTCTACAAGTACTTAATGTGCACTCTGATATAAATTTACATATATACCAGGTACCAAAACTTTAATTTTGGACCTTTGTTACCTAAGGAGTATAAATTGACTAAATACCATTTTTAACTCAGGGCAGTCCTATTTAATTATTAATAATACCTGCTGTTTCACTCTAAAAACATCTCAATTTGGACAAGAACTTATATAGTCACCCTAATTATGAAATATACACTAAAGCTTAAGATAATCTTACAGAACTTTATAACACCAAATTATGTAATTAATAAATACTCCTTAGACAAAATGTCAGTGAAAAACCCTTGACAGCTAAACAAAATGTTACAATGAAAGGTCATTTCTGGGTTTGAATAATTTAGATAAAAATAGAAAAAGGAGTTGTAAATTTGGCAGAAACATGTAGTTTCAACAAATGCAATGACATGGTACAGAGAAGGGGAGGTGAGCTTACTTACTCTGAACGACTTCCTGATACAGTTAATTGAGCAAAATTCTTCACTTTCTCTCTAACTACTTGAATCCCACGTTCATCGGATGCATTTAACTCAAGAACTCTTAATCGAAAAAGTTCAGGCCTATGTCAAAAGGAAACAAATATGAAATATCATAGAGCACTTAAGTAACCCAGGTTTAAACCACATTTTAATGCTTGCACATTCTGCAGTAGTTCAAAATCCACCTAATACATAATATGGATAGAAGGCACACAATCACTTCTGTATTTTCTTTTGCAGAGACATGCAGTTAACCTCTTGGCTTTTTTCCATGCTTTAAAAAAAAAGGTAGATGATATCACATGATGTATAAAATTTTAAATCAATTTTCCACCTAGGATTGTATCATAAACATCTTGCTATGTCATCAGAACCACTGTAAATACCATTTTAATAGCTATGTGACATTCCATCCTACAACTATACCATCATTTACTTATTTAACATCCTTCTATTGTTAGCCATTTATGGTTTTAAATGTTACAATTTTAAATAATGCTGCAATACATAACCTAAGTATTTTTCTATGGGCATGAACATTTAAGAAGCTCTGTGCATATATTTTCTAGTTTAAAACCACATATATTCCACAAATGTGGAATTTATAATTAAAGTAAATTCTATAAGGACAGGCATTATTTTTAAAAGGATATTTTAGAAGTTATCATTTGGACTGACCTAATCTAGAGTAATAATAAACTACTTAATAATCTCATTAAGACTACATTGCTACTGCTGGTTCAGTTTGGATCTACTGACTAATAACAGTGGAATAATCAAACAAACCTCTTTTATAATTTCCTTAAGAAGCAAAAGTTGCTGTCCATAACAATATAAGGTTTATAGCAGCTTCATCTTTTCTCTCCCTTCATGTTTCAATAAAACTAATTATTCTTACATATTTGATGGTTGCAGAGGCATCTAATTATTTTCACATGTAAGATTTCAGATGTATCCTTTGGCTATAGCCTGATGAGAAAATTCTGGATAAATTTAAGATCCTTTGCTGTGCTGGTGCATAATGCATGGGTATCAGACCTGGGCTGATATATCTTTTTCTAGGTAAAGGGCTCCTATACAATGGTTGGCTAAACCAAGACAGTCACTAGGAAGAGGAATCTAAGAAGTAGCTCATAGAGATTTTTCTGCTGTACCTGAAATCATACTGCATCAGCTATAACATACTCTGCTTACACTCAGGATGCTTGAGGGCAAGGATCTGGCCTAGCCACTTCAGAGGCGGGGCCTGGGAAATCCAGAGGAAGAAGGAACTCAAGAAGAGGAGGTGTGTGGGTCAGTAGCATCAGACACAACAGACTCTATCTCATGACACAGATGTGAACACAATCATTAAGAGAGTGATGAAACTATCGACATGAGATAGGTTGGATCCTCTGGGCTCCAAAGTCATAATGAAGAAGTTAAAGTGATGAAAAAAAATCACAAGGCTCTCTGTGTATTACATTCAAATTTTGTATTACATTCAAATTAAAGTTCAGAATGAAGGTTACAAAAGATGTAAGCAAGCTAATTTATTGGAGGGGAGGAGCTGGAAATGGGCCCAACCAGACTAATAAAAAATTCAGAAACAAAAAAACCCAACAACTTCACAGAGAAACCAAATGCATATTTTTAGAGAAACAAAAGCAGTACCAGAGATTTTCAGTGTCAAGTCTAAAAAAAAGGGAGAGAGATGTCAACTTACCCAAAGAGTTCCCTAGCTGCTGCCAAAATAGTGGATGTTTTTCCAGTTCCAGGTGGCCCATAAAACAACAGATTAGGAAGCTGTAGAAGTTAAATTTTATTATATTAAAAAAAAATTGTATTCTGGCACAATAGATGAAAATGATGACTGAAAATGTCTATGGAACAGTGCAGTAACTTCCCTAATAGAGAAGGCACATATGTCTTAATACACAGATTTCTTAATATAACTGGTATCATAATAACAGTTTTAAATCCTGCTTTTTCATATAATACTATCACTTTTCCCCCAAGATGTATTTCTAATATCTTAAGCTGAATCATATTTATGATTGCTCTATACCTAATTGACTTAGGTAGAATTTTCAAAGCTGAAATCAGAAACCTTTTATTTCTAAAGGGAACCCCAGGCTTCTGTCAGTTCCCTATCCCACCCTTTTGCTCAGGATTGGGCAAGATTTTATATTTTACAAAGATGTCAGGTGTTTCAAAGAAGAAATAAACCAAAGGAGCAATTGTGTCTGGCCAATATGGAGCAAAAAGGAGTAAAAAGACATATTAGGGCTTTGGATGAGCTGAAGTTGCAAGGATAGAACGATTAAGAATACTAAGCATCGGTGGCTCAGTTGGTTAAGAGCTCACTCAAGAGTTTGAGCTCCGAGCAACAGCGGTTCGAGTCCAGGCCTGAGCTGAGCAGCCGCTGAGCTGCCAACAGGTAGCAGGATGGCTCAGCTAAAAAAAAAAAAAAAGAATACTAAGCATCAAAAAAAAAGAATACTAAGCATCTGTGAAATGGCAAGCTGCTCCACCTCATCATGTACCGTCGGGAGGCCTGCATACATCAGGGAGAATGCATCAGAGAAAGAAAGGATAAGATAAAATTAACCATTTATCTTCTTTTATATCTTAAGTCTAGGTAGCTTGGCTCCTTATCAAGCAGACAACTGATCTACAGTACAGAGTAATAAACGTATTAAATTCTAATGAGCTCTGTTATGAAACTGTACATTCTTCACTATGTCCTTTTATGTAGGGAAATCACTGCACGTAGTAAACTAGACAGTACAGTTTGATTTGCTTCCACTCTTGCCTAACCCAACCCCCTTCCCATCCATTCATTCTTCACCCAAATCAGATGTCACTCTGCTTGCTACTTAAAACTATTCACTTGCTTCCTACTCCATGTAGAAAAACTAAAACAGACAAACCAATAAATCAACCTGCTTACCCTAACCAACAAGGTCATCCATGATCTGCCTACCACCCTACTTACCTTCTAGGCTCCAATTTACAACAGCCTCCAACAGCTAAGCATGTTATAACCTGCACATAATGCTGTCCCCCATAAGCTAGGGTCTAACTCATTTAGTCTGCCTGGCCAACTCCTACTGCATTACATGTCAGAAGCCTTCCCTGACCACCCAATCTAAAGGGGGTCTCTATTATTCTCTCATCAGTCTTTGTTGCACTTGATGCAATTAGCAATTATTTATTTTTTAATGGTTGGGTTTAATCGTAAAATACCTGTCTACCTTACTAGATGGTAAGCTTAAGAATGTCAAGAACCTATTCATATTTATGCATATCTATTCTTATCAGCATCTCGTACAGTATTCAATCCATGCCAAATAAACAAATCAGCATATAAATATATTAATTAGAAGACTGTTACATTGGTAACATATAACTTAAGATACAAATTATGAGATTCACTAAAAAATCAAAGCCAAAAAAACTCCTAGGTTTGTTCAGCTTTAAGGTTATAACTATTATTTTGATCCGTGCAAACCTCAATTTCTGTAACGATTCATCCAGATTAACTATCACATACATTAATTTAAATTCTTTAAAACATGGTAAAATTATTAAACCTTACTTACATTATGTAACAGTCTGATATATAAGGTGCATCCAAGAACTATGTGGATCACTAGTTATTAGGGAAATGCAAATCAAAACCACAATGAGATATCCCCTCATACCTGTTAGAAGGGCTATTATCAAAAAGACAAGAAGTAAGTATTGGTGAGGATATGGAAAAAAGGGAACCCTCATATTCTGTTGGTGGAAATATAAATTGGTGCAGCCACGATGAAAAACAGTATGGAGGTTCCTTAAAAAATTAAGAATAGAACTACCACATGGTCCAGTAATTCCTCTTCTGGGTACCCAAAAAATATGAATACACTAATTCATAAAGATGTATGTATCCTTATGTTCACTGCAGCATTATTTACAATAGCCAAGACATGGAAACAACCTAAGTATCTCTCAGTGGATGACTGGACAAAGATATGGTATATATGTGCAGTAAAATACTTCAGCCATAAAAAAAAAAAAGATGAAATATTGCCATTTGTGACAACATGGATGGATCTTGAAAGTATTATACTAAGTGAAATAAGCCAGATGGAAAAGGACAAAAAGTGTTTTATTTCACTCATGTGGAATATAAAACAAAAAGTAACAAACAAGCTAAAACAAAAACAAACTCACAGATACAGACAACAAAATGATGGTTATCAGAGGGGAAGGGGGTTGGAGGAGGGCAAATGGGTAAAGGGGATCAAATATTTACAGTAATGGAAGGAAACTAGACTTTGGGTGGTGAGCACGCAATCAAGTATACAAATATTGAAATACAATGTTGTGTACCTGTCTTGCTCAATGGTCTATGCTTGGGTCCTATATAACAATGCCATAGGATAGAATAGGAGATGCTCAACAAATATTTGTTAAACTAATCATCCATTGTACAAATAATCATCATCATGGGCCTACTGTATATATAGCATAGCATTTAAAGGAAGGAAAAGGGTGAATAAATTAAGTCTTAAATTTCCCAGTGACATTAAACATCATGTACTACTCACATCAGCTCCTTCTAAAGACTTTTTCAGCACTGCAACCACTTCATCCTGGAAAGCAACTTCATCCACACATTTTGGGCGACTGGAAATAAAAAAGAGGTTATTTAGTATATTCTAGTAACCACAGAAAAGTCTGTAAGTGTTCTGTTTGCTAAACTACCAATGATAATTCTCATATATTGGTAATGAAATGAGAATCTTTCATAACTGGAAGTATAATAGATGCAAATCCCATTTGTATTTACCTTAAGCAAATACATACTGAAGGAGTGAAGTCATTTATCACTTTTCTAGATACATGGTTTACATCTGTTATACTTACAAAAATTAAAAGGATTTTACTTTACTACACCACAAATGCCAACTGGTTAAAAATTTAAAGTGAACACTTGCCTAGAAAGTAATATTATATTTTAACAAGATCACGTACCTAAACTGAAAAAGAACTATTTAGTAATCTCAGAATAGGTAACTATTTTGGTTAATGTACTTATTATGTTGTTAATTGGTTAGTATCAATTTCTTCCATCACCTAATTGCACACAAAAATGCTTATCGATTCACTTCATTGAGGGCTAACAAAATAAGTTTAACCAATATGAAGTATAACATAATTTTTATCTTAAATAATTCGTGATTTTAAAAGTTAGAACAGTTATACTCCAACCCTAAAATTAGACTTTGTGCTTAGTTAACTAATCAAAAACTCATCTTAGAACCATCCTTTTCTGATTAATCAGGTCAGTGCCAGGCGGAATTTCATGTTAGATAATGTTTTCTCGGAAAACCAGTGTATGTTATAAACCAGAATTTCATATTCAAATACCTGCAGAGGCCAGGCCAATAATAAATATGAAAAAGGCAGAGTATAAGGGAAGAGAAAATAGGGACTATTAACCATTGAGTAACATATAACCTTTCAAAAATGAGAAGCAGTATTCAAGTCCATCTAACTTGTCAGGTGGGAATTTGCATCTAGTGTTGCCTAATCTCTTGAGAAGCTGAAAAATCTAAATTTTTCTCCCTTGTATAATTTTTTTTTTAATTTAAAAAAATCTAGATTTTTATGTGATATTTTCCATTTTTAAAAGCACTGTTGTGTCAAACAAAACATGAGGGCCTTTTGGTCTATTTGCAAACTGTTGGTAATAACAGAAGCTACACCAAGGATTACAGCTACTTGTCATAATATTATTTAGCTGACTGAAATTTAAATGCCACTTTAAGTGTTGTTTTTGCAAAAAATTATAAAGAAAACCCCAACAATTTGCACCTATCAGTCATGAAAGGGGAACAAATTATTTGGACTTAAGTAGAACTCCTGACCAAACCATAGACCTGAGCTACAGAGAAGACCTTAGCTCATTTGTAAAATAAGGGAATTAAACTAGATCATTCTAAAGTAACTTTCAGTTCCAAGGTTCTATGACTTACACAATGGGGTGATTTTCAAGGACAACATCTAAGTAAAGCAAATCATACCCCTTTAAGTTAAAAAAAAAAAAGTGATCAAAACTGGTTAGAGATGTAATTTATTAACTATTTCAACAAAAACACAAGCGTTCTTACTACTTTTCCACCCATGGAACAGGTTTGGCTTTCTTGTTCTCTCCACTGCTTCCGGCAGTGGCAGCTATTCCTCGATCCTTGGTCAATGGTGGTTTAGTGCTGATAGATGTGCCTTTTAGAAATGCTTGCATGGTTACTTCACCCTGACCAGGTGCAAGACAGAAAAGGAAAAGCTCATTTGAAACCATTATGAAAAAGTACGGCCTGAAAGCACACTTAACCTTGTGCAAAGATATTCAATAATTACTTATTAAATAAAGGATATCACCCCATGACCTATCACCCTCTGAATGCAGTGTACTGAAAGCTACAAGGATATAAAAGAGGCCAAAGTGCTTAAGAAATTTAGAATCTATTTATAATGACGGAGTTATAGAATAAAGGTAAATTTTTTAAGAGTTCCAAACCTTTCAATAAATGTCATTAATGGCCAAACTCTACCTCTACATGGGCTTCTACAGTCTCTGGCCTAGCTCTAGCTCAGAGTCTGGAATGGACTCAGGAATTAGTGTATCAGCAGTGCTGATACTACAAACAAGAACCTCCGCTTTTTTCCTTGGGCCTAGACCTCCATTCAAGGGCCTGTTTTACTGGCAGGGCCAATTACTACCTTCAGAGGCTTTTTTCTGGGGAAGGTTGGTCCAGTTGGGGAATCTGTTATTAAAATGGAAACAGCTGTTTTTTGATAACATGCTCATTTGAAGAAGTCAAAACAACGCAGAAAAGCCTGAGGAGTTTAAAAAATTCAGACAAAAATCTCACTCAGAAAATAACCACTATTAACTTTCAGGTAAACATTCTTCCAGGCAGCAGAAGGCTGTTTTTACGGATGGAAAGGCATCATTAGCTTGCTAGAAAACTCCCAGCTTTAGTGGCAATTCTATTTTTTTCACTGCTGTATCCCCCCAGGCCTCGTGCAGTGACTGGTCTATAACAGATGCTCCATAATATTTGATGACTGAATTACCATTTATGAGACACAGCTTCCCCTTATGTAAAAAGAGCTAAGGCCTATTCCATAAGGCAACTGAGTTAAATAAAAGAATTTAGCAAACACATAGTTCTGTGCTTGACATATGGGTGTATACTCAATAAATAAAATTGTTAGTAACTGTCAACAGCCAAGGTTTTTAACGTTATTGGATCACTCCATCCCTGCCAGTTTTGCTAAACAGTAATACAATTCAGTGCCGGGCTCTGAAAGATGCCGCACTGAGCCACCATTTCCCGAAGGGGTAGGATGTAGCTCGGCTGCAGCGCTACGACGGAGGTGGCAGACATCACAGGGCCATCAGGACGCAGGAGAAAGGGAAGGCGAAGGCAACACTCCCAACTTCTCCAGCTGGTCACCTGTTATCCCCGGCTTCCCGCGCGTATTCCTGGGCACTGCCTGGGCCTTTCAGCCGCTCGACTCTGGAGCGAGGACACCGCCGGCTCGTTCCTGGGGCTTCCGGGACGATGAAAGGGCGAGGTGGTCGCAAAGTCTTAGCTCCGTTCCCTAATTGGAGAATAGCAGGCGCAGAAAGGCCCGAGCTGCCGGACAGGGTGACACTCCCCGCGATCAGCACAGTCGCCTCGGTTCCCGCCACGGAACTGCCGGCGAAGGGTGGGCGGGAACACGCGGCACGTAATGCGTCAGTTCCGGTACGCCGCGCTCTCCGGCATCCGCTTAAGGGGACCGTTTACTCCTGTACCGTTTCATTTAAAGAGACTAGGCGATAGAGACGTTTAGGGATGTGTAGAGTAGGACGAGAATGACTGAAGAGGGGAAAATAAAGTTCCAGTCTGTCCGTGTGCGTTTCTCCCATTGGAGACTGCAGGGCAAGGGCACTTAACGGCGACAGTCCCGAGGAGACGCTGGGACCGCGCTTCCCCGGCTTGCTTAGCGAACATGGGCCGGGAGGGATCCGCGGTCGCTCACCCGCGAGGGCGGTTGGGGACCCGTATGCGGGTCCACCCAAGGTCTCAAACTACCCACCCTCTTTTTTGGGTACGAGCCTGCATAACCTGTACCTCGCTGTGAACTTCATTGGTAGTCATGGGGCTTCTCACGGGCATTTCTGAGGCGACACAATTCGGCTTGCAACCTGCTCCCCGAAGGACAAGGATTGGGGAGGGTGGAGTCGATTCTTCGCCAGAAGAGGGCACCCTGAAGATCCCTGTCCTCCCTCTGGCTTTGTCGTCGCAGAGCTAACTGCGTATTTTAAGGGCAGAGACGTCTAAAGAAGATGTCTTTCCTTCCCCTTTTGGGTGCATATAACTTATACCTTATGCCTGTTGGTGAGAGGGAGGACCTTGCCATGCAGCTATGGTCACCTTTTAACCCCAGAGCCTTGCCCAGAAATCTGGTGGTGCAGATGCTTAATAAAAGTTAAAAGATTGATAATAATATCCAACTTCACCAGGTCACAAGCATTGTGGACTCTAGATCTCTGCATCACAGTACAAATGGTCAGTCTTGACTGACCCCTTTCAGATGTTGGTTCCGAGAGTACCACCCAATAAAAAACCTGCATGCAAATCTCAAAATCACAGAATGTGATTCCTAAGGAATTAAACCAATAAGCATTGACACAAGAAGCAGCCCTGGAAAAGACTCTTAAGATGAAATTTTGAAATTGGGTTACCTGCTAGCCTGCTGGTAATGAGAACCCCATCACTGGTGGTAGTGGAACACTGATAGCCCCTGGAATGCTATGGCAGTTGTTAAAACTTTCATCAATGGCAAACTGGAATGGAATGCCTGTGGAAGGGAGTGCACCAACAGATGAAATATTGGGTTGTCGGAAAAGTCATGACACATTTTTGCAACGAAAAACAGAAACACTATGTCTTGATTTTTCCGACAACCCAATATTTCAGGGGTTCTAGGAAACAGTCATTATAAGAGCTTTGGAATTGGATGGCCACTTTTTTTTGGGGGGGGGCTCACTCAGAATGAAAGAAAAAGACTATAAAAAAAGACTGAGGATGATTTATTGCTAATATCAGACCAAATGTGAAAGCCAGAGAGTGTATTTGGCAGCATATAAAATTATTCACATATCCTGTAGCTGGTGGGTGGGGGCGGGGGGAAATCTGTGCACCAGACCCAAAAACTAAATTATAGAAGTAGAAAAGTTCCAGACAAGTTTAAATTCTCAACCCCACCAAGTCTTCTATACCAAGGTCAAGGCCCTAATTGGGCGGGGGGGGGGGGGGGGAGCGGGGAATGGATGCTGAGACTTAAAATGGGGTCATCTAGATCAATGCACTTGAAAATCTTAATTTCCATATTTCCCTAAATGCTGTTGATCTGCAGAAGTAACCCATTCTTTTCTGTTAAAGGCTGATGCTCCTCTCATGGGGATGTATGTATAAGCTTGATAATGTAGACGTTTTTGCCTTCTCAGACAATACATATCTCTCCTTACTCCCCAACAGACTACCCCACTCTTTGACCACCAGAGTGATAGCCAGGCTTAAGTCGCAATGCACCCCAGCTGAGGAAATGCTGGACTGGCTAAAGGTGAAAAAGGATTATATGCTAAAGGAGCTGCAGGACTGGACAACATGAACTGACAGGAGGCACGTATGGGACTGTGCTGGATGAAAGGGGACAGAATATAAAGTTAGCAAGGGGAGAATAAACCTATGACATAGGATTTAATATCTTGGCAAGACCCCAGGTAATAGTATTTAGTTGGCGCTTGGAAGCTTGGAAGAAGCAATGGCCCATAATAAGTAAAGTAGAAATGCCAGAACTGCAGTAGCAAACACTGGAGGAAGTAATCAAAAGATTCAGAGAAGTGGGATATATTCTGTTCCTGAGATAGCATTCTTGTCCAAAGTGATAAGGAATGTGCTGATCAGGTGTCTCTAGCATTTATAAGAAGCTCAGTGTCCTCTGTAGGCCAAGGCTGTTGGTAGGAGATGCTGGGACAGAATAGAGTTTTCTGATAGCAATGAGGACAATAGAATTCCAAAATAATAGAGGTCAGATGGCAATGCTTGATCTCAAAAGCAAGCTAGGTGCAGTTGTCACCATGGGTGGCAAGTTCAGAGGCAGTCAGGGAGGTCTGACTCTCAGATAGCTAGAGAGGTGGTCAATACAGCATAGCATCCTGAGGGACATGATAGAGCAACAAACAAGTGTGTTGCTCAATCTATGCAACCAAAATAAATCAAAGCTGGATGATCAGGAGGCTTACCAGAGCCACAATAATAAAAAATCATGTTCACTTTCTAAATTCCCAGACCTGAGTTCTCCAATATAAGTCTCATTGACTGATGGAGAAATTAGGTCCTCATGAAAAAACCCTGCAAACATCATGTCAAAAGTATAAGGTAATGATTTCCACAGTCTTTCCCAAAGCCATTTACTCATATAACTAAGAGAAATATGAAACCTTTCAAGGTCTATTGGATACAAGGTCTGAGCTGAGATAGCCCGGGACCCAAAGCACTTCCCCTATTGGAGTGGGTGGATAAGGGGTCAGGTAATAAATGGAGTTCTGACCCAGGACTGGCTCATGGTAGTTCCACTGGCTCCACAGTTCATTTGCTGGTTATTTCCCTGGTTCCCAAAAGAACAGTTGAAATGGCCATACTTAAGTATTGGCAGAACCCACACTGGTTCCTTGGCCTGTGGGGCTAGGGCTATTATAGTGGAGACAGCCAAGTAGAAGCTTGTAAAACCACCCTACCTTCCACAGCAAAGATGGTAAATAAAAAACAAAGCATACGAAGGGGTATGGCAAATATTAGTGCCACCGTTAAACACCGTTAGGCTGGAATGGTGGTCCTCATTATATGCCTATTCCATTCATCAGTCAAAATGACCCTCTTTATATGCTAGACATTGCCCTAAAATGTATATACAATGTTTCCCTTTGTTTTCCAATAGATGGGAGAAAAATCTGGAAGGAACCAAAACAAAAATATAGTTTGACCATTTAAAATCTGTACAGGAAAAGCTGCTTCGGAACCAGCAGGATCCAGAGTGGTTCCATTCCGCCATCTAGTGGACAAGATAGGAAAAAAAATTAGAGCAAAATGATTGATTTTAGGATTTTGTTGTCAACGTCAGAATTTACCAAAAAAGTGTTCTTTGATTCAGTTCCCCTGGGCTGTGAGTGTTCTATGGCTAACAGCGGCCAAAGCGTGGCCCCAATCCTAGTGTCCCATTGGTTGGATTTGGGGGTCCTTGGAACCGGCATTGTTTGGGGCACTGAGGCCCTCGAGACACAGCCCTTGCATTCATGCAGGGGGTGGTCAGGGCACAGTTGCTCCGATCCTCTGCAGCCTTTCAGCAGGAATGTCAGTCCTCAGTCCTCACTGTCTGCTCCTGGCATAGGGGTCCCGAGTTGGATGATTGCCCTAAAGAGGCCTCTCCGAGGGTGGATCACTGCGGATGTCCGGAAGTCACATCTGGAGGAGGGCGCTATAAGCCAGTTTCTCTTCTGCCCTCCACCCCTTACCCCTGCCACATCCAGAGCCCAGGAATTAATCCAGGTTTTGCTTCAATCTGAGAGGGCTGCGTCCAGCTGCCTGGAAACCGTCCCTAGTTCTGGAGGCCTCCAAGAGAGGAACCGCCCGGCTGCTCCCGGTGCTGCCTGCACAGCCTCCACTGACCTGCTCTGGAGAGGGTCCCAGTGATAGTTCGGCCAGTAAAGGAACGCGCACAGTCAGGCAAGTTAAGAAAGCCTAAGAAAGTCTATTCCATTAAGAGAGCGTCTATCAGGCTGAGCAAAGACGGCTACAGCCCGGGCTGCGCATCTAAAGGAGACTTGTAGTCCCGAGGGAGGGGGTGAGGAGGGTTATATAGGGGCGGTGATGTCACAGTAGCATTGTTTGAACAGAAAATGCTGACTGCCTGTATGCCAGTAGCTGTTTGGGAGCATTTTTTGTTATTGCAAGCTGGGTTCTGTCTGCAGGTGCAGGTCAACAGACATTTTGTTGTTTTCTTGTAGACATGACTCTGTCTGTAAGTCAATGTCCCTAAGACCTAACACTCAGAGAATTAACATTGAGTCAACGTCTCTGACATTCAGAGACCTAACACCCAGAGCAAAGTTTGGGTGGAGGGCCTGTGGGCAGAGCAGGTCAGGAGGTCCCACTTGCTTGCTGCCTGCTCTGAGATAACTGTGAGATAGCTGTGCCCCCACCGCACCTCCAACCACAAGCTCCCTCCCCTCCCTCACCAAGGCCATTCCTCTGCCAGAATGCTTTTCCTCACCCCCCGAATTCTCACCTGACCAGGAAACGCTCCCACACACAGGTTCCCTGGGGATGGATCACTCCCTTGCCGCCGGGCCTGGGGCTGCCTATGGGATCCTTCTGCTGCCTCCCTGACCTGCCTTGTGAGCAAGTGTGGGGCAGAGATGCCTCTTTAGAGAGTGGGGTAAAGAGCAGGAATGTCATAGAATCCAGCGGCAGGGCTTACAGGCCAAGGGAACTCGGCCAAGTGATGATTCCTTTCTCATCTTAGTTTCCTCGTTTGTAAAATGGGGCTAAGGCCCTTACACGGTTGTCCTGACATCCCCCCAGGCACCGAGCAGCTTCAATATTTGTGGGGGTTGCTGTTCCCCACAGTGTGGAACAGCCTGCGCACATACCAGGTACACAGTGGTGACGATTGGTCAATTAATCCATTCATCGGAGAGGGAGGCAGGGTGGGCTAGTCCCTCTGGATTTCCCACGGGGAGCGCAGTGACATGTGGCAGAGGCTGCCAATGAGAAGAGAAGTGGGCAGGAATTAGGGAGAGCAGCGGAGGCAAGGAAGAGAGGAGGGTGGCAAAGGAGGAGAGGAAGGACGGAAGGTGGAAAGGTAATCAAGCAAAAGACAATGAGGGTTTTTTTTTGGAGGACACGAGATAGGGCTAGGAACACCACGTGGACACGTCTTCTCGTCACAGTTACAGAATTTCAGAGCTGGGAAAGGGAACCGGGAGACCACAGACCCACCCCCTCACCACCCAGGCGAAGCAGTCCGGTCCTGAGAGTAGAAGTTAGAGATGGGGAACATGGGTTCCGGGGAACACCTGTCATTGGCAGCAGGGTCCCTACTCCCACCCCTGTCCCCCACAGTCCCCCAGATTCTTTCCATCTTTCCCGAACTTTGATCCAGCAAGGAGTGTACGAGCTTAGGGATTCAGAGCGGACCTCCGCGGAGGCCGCGCCCCGGGGGGCTCAGCAGAGCCCGGAAGGCGCCCCGGTCAGGTCCCGCGGCTGCACGGAAGGGGCCGCGACTTGAGGCCCGGGGACTGTTTCGTGGAGCTCGAGTCAGTTAGTGCCAAGACTGTGTAGTTTCAGAGAGAGTGGGTTCCAAGTTAACTTCTAAGAAATTCACGTTTATATATAGTTACTTACTTTTATTTTTATTTTTATTAGCTATTAATTTTAATTTCTTTAGCTAGTGTTCCAGTTATTTAATTTGGTAGCTTTCAGTTTATTTTTAATTACTTTTTTCAAAGTTTTCAGTTACTTATCTTTAATTATTGTTGAATTAAATAGCTTTTAGAATTACTTTAAATTAAATAAAAAAATTATTTTTAAACTTAGTGTCTGAGTTATTTTTAGTACTTATTCTTTTCAATTATTGTGATTTTGAGTTATTTTCAATTTTGTTTTTGTCTATATTTTGTACTGTTATTTAACGTTTGAGTTATTTTCAGTATTTTTTAGTTATAGTTTTTAAGCTATATACTTTCATATTTATTTAGTTTTTTAATTGTTTAGCTTTTAGTTACTGAATTATTTCCAGACTTACTTAATTTTTGAGTTTTTTATTTTCTGAAACTTGTCATTTAGTTTTGAGATCTCTTCAGAGATATTTATTGTCAATTATTTTATTTCCTTTAAATTTCTTTTCCTGTTCTTTGTTTTTATTTATTTAATTTTAAAGTTTATTTTCAAAATTGCTTAGTTTTAGAATTACTATCAGTCAGGGTCAAATCACTGATAAGACACATACCAGTTATTTTAATGGAAACAGTGTAATATAAAATATTGTTGGGCCGGCCGAGTGGCTCATTAGTTAAGAGCTGGCTTGGGACACCAGCTCTGTGCAGCAGGGCCCTGATTCGGATCCCACATGAGGACTAGTGACACTGCCCTCCACAGCTAAGATGGTGAACAACAGCTCAACCTGGAGTTGGGCTGCTGTGAGTCGCAGACAACAGCGTAGGCTGCAGCACCTGCTGCAGTGGGCTGCCATAAGCTACTGTGTGTGGCCAGCAGCCAGCGTGAGTGGCCAGCAGCTGGTGTGAGCTGCCAAGAGCCGCCGTCCAGAGGCTGGTGGCCGATCTGCCTCACCCGGGAAGAGCGCAATGATAATGCCGACATGGGCCAGTGAAGCGACATCCTCCACAACTAGACTGAAGAACAAAAGGACAGCAACTTGTCTGTTCCCCTTCCCCAGATTCCCCAGTGCTATTCCCCTCCCCCAATTCCCCAATAAAATCTTAAAAAATAAAATAAAATAAAATAAAATATTGTTACTCAGCTATTGGAGAACTAAAAAGGCAAAAAGGAAAAGAAGATATTGAAGTATCATTGAGATTTTAATTGCAAGAAGCAGCTACCAGCCCATGGGCTGAGGGAACAAAGGGAAGAGGTTGGAGGTGGCCCCTTATGGCTGGGGTTAGCCCTCTGGGGGGAGGCGCTGCCTGATGGGACAGATGCCCCAGGAGCTGGATGTAGAACTCTGAGGAGGGGGCACTACCAGCTGGCGCTGGTGTCTGCAGAGGCGTGAAGAGGCTGGTTATAAAGTGTTGGGAAAATGGAAAACTGCAGCTACTGGAACCAACTGTCCTCTCAGGGTGAAGACCAGTTGCTAGGGGAATGCTGATAGGAACCCAGGAGCTCAGGAAGGAGTGTATGTCTCTCTCTCCTCCCCCCAGCCTCTGGTCAGCCTGCCCTGACAGGGAGCAGCTGGCAAAGGAGGCAAAGTGGCCCCACATCACAAAACAGCACAGAAAGGTGGGCTGGAAGCCGAGAAATCATAGTTAATAAATAGCATATTGGGCTCTGGAGCTACTAGTTTTAGAGTTAGTTTTGGATTTATTTCATTTTGGAATTGTTAGGGCGATTTGATTTTAACTTTTCACTGGATGTGGAATCTGGCTGAGTCGCCTGATTTGTTCCTGGAATGGAGTGGGTCAACAAACACTTGTGAAGAGTGGCTCCCATGAGACTCAAGAAAATCACTTTAAAGTCAAGAAAAACAAGAATAATGTGTCTCCTGTTCATAAAGAAGCTCTTTGCGTGGCCAACAAAGGGCAGAGGCTAAGGGACAGAGAGGGGACAGAGAGGGGTCAGGGAGGGACTCTTTGGCATAATTGCCTGGCAGCTTTTACTTTGAAAATTTTCAGAAAGTTATGTTATGGGGCCACCTTCTCCCACCCCATTTTCTTTCTTTCTTTTTTTTTTTAAGATTTTTATTGGGGAATTGGGGGATGGGAACAGCGCTGGGGAATTGGGGGAAGGGGAACAGACAAGTTGCAGTCCTTTTGTTCTTCAGTCTAGTTGTGGAGGACGTTGTTTCACTGGTCCAACTTGGCACCATCATTGCACTCTTCCTGGGTGAGGAAGATTAGTCGCCAGCTTCTGAATGCCGCTCACGCTGGCTGCTCACGCTGGCTACACACGGTAGCCCATGGCAACCCACTGCCACAGGGGCTGCAGCCTCCGCCGTCACCAGCGACTCACAGCAGCCCAGCTCCAGGTTGAGCTGTTGTTCAGCATCTTAGCTGTAGAAGGCAGTGTCACTGGCCCTCATATGTGGGATCCAAACCGGGGCCCTCTGGCATCCCAAGCCAGCTCTTAACCAACGTGCCACTCGGCCGGCCCTCCCACCCCGTTTTCTAACAACAAAATATCATTCTTCATAGATGCAGAGTGTATTTCAAAAATTTTCAGAATGTTAATTTCTTGCGGTTGCCCTGTAGAGGGCAGGATCAACAAGTACACACCCCCAACCCCTGCCAAAAATAATTGATTCTCATGTCCACACTGATGATGATACCACACATAAATAAAAAAGGTAGGAACAGGTCTATTACTCACATGATGAGGCATTATGGGGAGAGCAGGGCAGGCACCCAAGCTGGTCTGAAACGGCTTGAGTGAGGGGAGAGATGAGTGGCTTTGGTTTTGTATTGTGGTTGGTGTGGGGCCAGAGTGGGGTTTCCTTGCGCAAGCTGGAATTTGCATGGTTTGAACTTCTGTCTGGCACCAAGGGGAGGAGTGTACATGTTTTCTTGTTAGTTTGCCCAGATGTGGGCAAAAGGGGGAGAGAGAGGCGGGGTTTGCAAGTTGTCAGTGGTCAAATATCAAAAATGAAGCCAGACTCTCTGTTACAGTTAACCTATGCTATGGGGCTACTCTCTCCTTGTCCACCCCCTGTCCAAATGACAAAATATCTTCCTTGGGAGATAGGATGTGATTTAAAATTGGTGGACTACTATAGTTATTATTTGCACAACAAAATAAAGTTCTCAAATCTATAGGAAATCTTATTTCCTTCTATCTGATTATTTTCCAACCCACACTGTTCCATTTTTACCATAAGAACATTTATTTATTTATATACTCATGGATATTCACTCATTTCTTTCAAACACCTATTTCCTGAGCATCCCCATCACATGGAAGGTGCTGGTACCAGGAGAGACCAGGGAGGTATAAAGATGAGTGAGAAGCTCTCAGTCCAGTTGGGAGAGACAGATGTGGAAACAGATCATCATAACATGGTGTGACAAATACTATGGGGGTTCAGAACCCTGCCACTGATTCTTCCTGCTGTAGGCAGAGAAGAAGTGACATCTGAGCTGGGCCTCCTGGAGCAAGTGTTTTCTCCAGGTGGAGAAGGAGCAGGACATCCTGGTTGTGCATAGGCACAGAGGCACAAGGAACCATGCACAGCAGGGAGGATGCGTTGCCAGAAACCACTGGGCCACAGGGTTCAGACAGGTGCTGCCTTTAAGGCTGGGCCTGATGCTTGACAGATACGGCCTTATTTGATCCCACAAGAGAGTAGGAAACAACCTCAGGAGCTAGTGCTCTTCCTGATCTCACTGTTCCAACCATAGCTTACAAGACCTTGTGACTTTGTATTTCTGGAATTCTTCAGCTCATTCCTGGCTTTATCCTTGGTTCATTCATTTGTTCCTACTTACCCTTGGAGGTGAGTCCCACCCTTCTCCACCTTTTGATTCCTACTTCTTAAATATCTGTAGAGAAGGAGGAGGGTTGAGACCAGCCAGCTGTGATGCACAGTGATGTCAGCTGCAGAGGAAGCAGAGGAGAGAAAAGCAGAAGAGTGTTGCTGCAGGATCTTGGGAGTTTAACAGACCAACATGGTGGGAAGTGGGCTCTTGGCATAACCAGCTATGACCTTCTCCATCTGCATTCAACAACCGTTGAAAGGTTGTGAGGATGCCTTCCCCAAAGGGGGAAGCCTGCTTTAGATCCAACCTAGGCTTTTGAGTCAGCAAATTTTTTTATAAAACACAGAGTATTTTGCTGCATTAACAGCATTGACCATATCTACCAAGTAAAAAGAAAGTATAGTCCAGCACAATGGATGGTGGCATACTTTCACACTTTCTGCAATACACATTCATACAGTCAGTCTTGATACATGTATCTCAGCAGACTTCTCTGCTTCGATCTCTCCAATTACCTTATCAATCACAATATATACATTTCTCAATGACAAAATGTAAGAACTAGAGCTGGACAGAAGACTCTTTAAGGTTCTGACTATTAGAATAGTCAGAACATACATCACTTGGATCCACTGAAGTGCTTTTAACCATTGATTAGCCAGCCACTCATACAGAAACACAGTCCAAAGCTTTCCCAATCCTTTGAACCTCAGTGGTTTTCTGAATCTTTGAAAATGTCCACACTTGATGGTGCTGGCTGAGTGCAAAGTGCCCAGACTTCCCAGGCCTCACAGAAGGAAACACCACAAGCCTCACATCACAGGTGGCAACCAGAGGAGCCATTCAAGACCAGTTATTAGTGTTGATGTTCCCAGGTGCTTCCCCCCGGTGCTCCAGGATGGCCCACTTTGACCTTCCACTTGGCCCAGTGGAACTTGGGTCTTCTCCAGGGACTTGTGCACAGCTGCCATTCAGGAAATATTGGGTTGTCGGAAAAGTCACGACACATGTTTTCAACAGATGGCATTACTTCATTTTTGGAAGTGCTAGTCATTTGCATCTATGTTATTGCTATGTCATTTGATAACTGACAGTTCTAGCTCCATTCTTAAAAAATATTGGGCAATTTGGTTGAGTTTTGGAGATTTTACAACAAGTTGAAGATGGAAGACCAAACTGTGCATTTTTGATGTTTTACTTCCATAAAGGGAAGGATGCGCATCAAGCTTGTGAAAAGTTGTATAAAGTTTACGGTGACAATGCTCTACAAGAACATCAGTGCCAACGATGTACCAACAAAATTCCGTGCTGGTGATTTTGATCTCAACTATGCTCCTTGGTCAGGGAGGCCCACCGAGGTTGATAACGACAAAATAGAGGCATTGATCAAGTCAAACCCACATTGCCCAACAAAAGAGATTGCAGAAACATTGAACATCCATCATTCAAGCGTCCCCGGCCACCTGAAAAAGCTGGGATACGTAAACAAGCTCAATATTTGGGTTCTGCATTAACTCAAAGAAGTTCATTTGACGGCGCGTATAAACATCTGCAATATGCTCATTAAACGTGAGGAAAACGATCCTTTTTTGAAGCAAATGATAGCTGGTGATGAGAAGTGGATTGTTGACAACAATGTGGTGTGCACACGGTCTTGGTCCCAACGGGATGATTTGCCTCAAACGACATCGAAAGCAGACATTCATCAGAGGAAGTTTATGCTCTCAGTGTGGTGGAATTTTAAAGGTGTCGTGTTTTTTGAGCTCCTACCAAGGAACCAATCAATCAATTCAAATGTGTACTGTTGGCAATTGGACAGTTTGAACAATTCCATTATCCAGAAACATCCAGAGCTCATTAATTGTAAAGGAGTTGTGTTCCATCACGACAACGCGAGACCACACACAAGTTTGATCACCCGTCAAAAATTATTGGAGCTTGGATGGAATGTGTTGCCACACCTACCATACTCACCTGACCTTGCGCCATCAGACTTCCAATTGTTTTGCTCTCTTCAAAACTCCTTGCATGATATAACGTTCAATTCAGATGAGGCTGTAAATCAGCACCTTGTTCAGTTTTTCACAAATAAAGACAGGTTCTTCTATGAAGAGGAATTATAAAGCTCACTAAAGATGGCAAAAGGATATCAAACAAAATGGGCAATATATCATTGATTGATCTTTGATCTTTATATAAATAAATGACCTTTGAAAAACAGACAAAATACTATGACTTTTCTGACAACCCAATAGTTGCTGAATAAATTGTGGTTGCTGTACATTTTCAAAGCCCTTTGAAAGTAAAAAAATAAATAAACAGGATGACTCTTCTGTGGGTAAAACTTTTGTCATCTTCGCATTTGTTTAGATGAGAAACAAGACACATCAATGAGATCAAAATCTAACACTTTTGGAAGAATTATTCATATTTTCTATGGCTTAAAAATGTTGCCTGTTGTCCCCTAGAAATAACATGCTCCAGCTGAAGTGGTTGGACTAAAGGCAGCCTTGATTCTCTATAATGTGGTGTTCTGAATGCATACTAAACACTAGCCATGCATTATGCAATATTTAGAGAAAATAGAAATCATCTAAATCAGGATTTTCCAGATGTTTTTCAGAAGCAGTAAGAGAATACAAGAGATGAGCATTTTCCCCCCTCAAGTTCTAATATAGGAGAAAAGAAAACATTTATTCAGGCTCAGAGAAGTTTTATAGGAAGGAAACCTGCATATTTTTATTAACTACTTCATTTCCTAAACTCTTTGATTGCAGAACTCTTTTCTTTGTGGAATGCCACATGCCATGTGTATTAGTCAGCTGCTGCAAAAAAGAGGCCCAACAATATCATGACTTACACAATAAGTTTATTTCTATCTCATGTAGCAGTCCAGGGCAGGTAGGAAGACTGTTTAAGATATGCATACCCCTTGATCTTGCAATTTTATTTCTAGTAATTTATTTTATGAGCAAAGATATATATGAACAGGGATAGTCAGGTTTATATGTGTAGACTTTTGTTTGGGCATACATTTTATTTTGGGGGAATAAATACTCAGGAGTATGACTGCTGTTTAATTTTTAAAGAAACTGAGAAACTTTTCCAGGGTGGCTGTACCATTTTTCATTCCCACTGGCAAATTATCAGTGAACCCTTTCATTGTGTCATTTCCCAAATTTAGTATTCTCAATGTTTTTTTAATCTTTAAAAAAATCTACTTTTTCCTACTTAAAAAAAAATCATCCAAAGTCCATAATTTATATTAGGGTTCACTCTTGGTGTTGTACATTCTATGGATTTTGACAGATGCATAATGACATGTATCCACCATTATATTATTTCTTACTACTATTTTTAATTTTAGCTCTTATAGTAGATGTGTTAGTGATACCTCTTTGGTGGTTTTAATTTGCATTTCCCTAATGGCTAAAGATGTTGAACTTCTATTTATGTGCTTATTTCCCATCCATATATCATATTTTGTGAACTATTTTTCATGTCTGTTGCCCATTTTCTAATTGGATATTTTATTTTACTGTTTAGTTTTGAGAGTTCCTTATATAATCTAGATACAAATACTTTATCAGATATATGGTTTGCAAATATTTTCTCCAAGTCTGTAGCTTGCTTTTTCATCCTCTAAGCAGGGTCTTTTGCAGAGGAAAAATTTTAGTTTTGATAAAGTCTCATTTACCATTTTTTCTTTAATAATCTGTCTTTGGTGTCATATGTAAGAACTCTTTCCCTAGTTTGACTTGCCTGTGTTAGTTTCCTAGGATTGACATAACGAATTACCACAAACATGGTGACTTAAAGAAGAGAAAATTATTTTCACCTCCTACTGTGGTAGAATATTCAATAATTATTTTCATGTATGCTATTTCCTGTCATCTCTCTAAATATAATAATTATACTTAAGTTATGCCCCCCCCTTTTTTGCTATTAGCTTTGGTCCCTTGGGTGTAAATTTTTCTATTGGTTGAAGTTGTGGCCTATGTCAGATCATGTCTGTTGGTCCTACATCCGCTTTTTTATAATCCCTTTTGTATTCCTGAAGCTGGTGTCTGAAATGTCATATCCTAGACTCCCTTGCCAGATGAGTGTCCATTAGATTATGCAAATGGGAGACAGTCATGCAATATTGAAGCGGGGAAGAAGGGAGAAGCCACTGTGTTTCAGGTGGTGTCTCTGGCAGTGTCCGTGTCCCTGGCTACTGTTCAGTGCAGTGGTGGAACCGCTAGCAGTACAGCCAGTGAGTGTAGGCTTATGGGCTACAGCTCACAGGTAGTAGCTGCTTCCTGATCTCTGGGCAACACCATCCCCCTCCCTTTGCTTCTCCAGCTTTTCCAAAATTACTGTGGCAGACTCCTTGACTAATACAGTGTTTTGGTATTGGAAGTAGTCCAAGGACACAGGCTCTCATAGATATGAATCTAGGGTTGCTTATCTGAATTGGCTTCCTTGCCCATAGAAGTGGGCTACTATTAGTCTAAAGTTTGAGTGGCAAACCAGATAGTTAAGTTAATATCTAAGGTTGCCTTGCATGAAGTGTAATTGTCTTTGGAAGAGATAAAGGAATTTTTTTCCTTTCCTGCTATTCGGGATTTGGGAATGGAGTGGAAGGCTACAGGGCACGCTCGCTCTGCTCTCTTACTCCAATCTTCTGTATTATTTTTCAAAACAGTGATTATGCTTATTAAGATTTATTTTTAAATGACAAGAAGGGAAAATATATGGCAATATTTAACCATGCTTATGGGAAACTTAGGCATATGTGGCTTGCTGTTTCAATATCCCAATTCACATGCTTAAGGGGATTGAACTGTAGTCATGGTACCTTGGAGGAAATGATCACATTTTTTTATTATTTCATTCTAGGTAGTAACAGTTCTGTCCTGGGAAAAAGACTAACCTCTAGGCGTTTATGGCTGAAGATTTTTCAGTTACAGTCTCTAAACCACTTTGCCAAAGAATTGCCTCTTTTCATATGATGGCCTTTGTGGGGAATGGCAGGTTTCCCTGAGGCCTTGGACTTGTAGGCTTTTGCAATGTCACTGGCTGCCAGCCAGACGCAGCGCAGTCTTGGTGTGATTTTAGGGCTAAAGTTATTCCACCTTGCGCAATAGTTAAAGTTTGCAATAACCAGCTGCATTCCCATAAGGTTGATACTTTTTATGCCAACTTTTGAGGTTGGCATAAAGCTACCCTGAAATGCATGCATGAATCTTAGGGTCTCAGAGTCCAGCAGGAGGGGTGAATGACATGAGGTATTATGAAGCATGTGGGTTTTTTAGTCGGACAGATCTGGGTTCAAAGCTTGGATCTGTGCCTTGGACAAGTCACTTAACCCACTGAACACCAGATACTTCATTTATAAAATGGGAGACAATCGTAACTGTCTAAAAGGGAAGATTAAATATGATCACTCATCTATTCATTGATTCAATATTTATTATAGCCTACCTCGTACCAAATCTTATTCCAGGGTCTAGGGGACATAACATTGAATAGGCAAAGCACAAGCTCTCATAAAGTTTACATTCTAGTAAGGAGAGACAGATAGTAACAAAGACCAAAAGTTAAATAAGAAAATGCCACAACAGAAATGAAATAGTGATGCAACTGAGAGTTGCTGCAGTTTCTCTTTGTTTTCTTTTTGATCCAACCTGCCTGGTACATTGTATAGAACCTAATTTTCACAGGCCCCTTATCTAAGCCAGTGGGCCTCAGGACTCCTATCTTAATGGCTTAATGTGACTGACTTCTCTAGAAATATTTGCAAACAGCAGGTCCTAGAATAACATCATTTTGTTCAATGTTATAATGTTGATGAGAGGCTATAGGAATTTTTTTTAGAGATTTTTTTTATTGGAGAATTGAGGAAGGGGAACAGTTTGGGGAATTGGGGAGGGGGAACAGGGTTGAGGAACTGGGGAAGGGGAACAGCCAAGTTGTTGTCCTTCAGTCTTAGTTGTGGAGGGTGCAGCTAGCTCAGCTCCAAGTCCAGTCACCAACTGGCCTACCGTCGGCAGCTCAGGGCAGCTCAGTGCAGCTCAGCTCAAAGTGCTGTGTTCAATCTTAGTTGCAGGTGGGCGTAGTCCACCATCCCATGCAGGAGTCCAACTAGAAACCTTGTTGCTAAGAGCGCACCTCTAAGCACTGAGCCATCCGGCTTCCCATGGGGAGCTCAGGGCAGCTCAGCTCAAGGTGCCATATTCAATCTTAGTTGCAGGGGAAGGGGGGGGTGTAGCCCACCATCCCATGGGGAGTCCAACCGGCAACCTTGTTGTTAGGAGCACGTGTTCTCACCAGCTGAGCCATCCTGCCACCTGTTGGCAGCTCAGTGGCAGCTCAGCTCGGGCGCAACTCACTGGCCCATGTGGGAATTGAACCAGCGACCCTGTTGCTCAGAGCTTGCGCTCTTAACCAACTGAGCCACTTGGCCGGCCCGAGAGGCTATAGGAATTTAACTCTTGTTTAAATCAGTTAAACTATGGTGAAATTCATTTTTGAAATTTGACGTCACTTCACTTAAAGTTATAGAACCTACTGATGACATTAAGTGAGGACTTACTATGTTAGTCCTTGAGTCATACTTTTATTTTACTTTGCTAATGGACTTTTAGGCTAAGTGTGGCCAGTGGAGGTGGTATTCAGGGGCAGGTAGACACTTGCCCAGCCTCTGCCTGAGAACATTCTGTTTCTGAATGTCTTGTAAAAGTTATTACTGGGACCTTGCTGGGATCATGATTTAATGCATCAGAATTTGTGGTTTTCAAGAACCAGCTTTAACTTGGCCTTCCTAAAACAGAATATGGGTTTGCCAAGAAAGAGTCCAAGGTGATGAATGTTGTCATTTCAAGCCTAAGCCTTCTAGGATTACCAATGTGGGTGGCAGCCTCTGGTCCTCCAGTCTGCTGCAGCCCAGAGCTGGGTTCCCCAGTAGATAGATTAAGCACATGCTTAAGAAGCTGGCAAAACGAGAACTCACACACACACACACACACACACACACACACACACACACACAAAGTTAGCTTTCAAAACCTTATTTGCAATTTTGGAAACAGAAAAATATTGAAAGATGGTTTTCTAATATCACATTTTATGTAATACAAATTCTCTTGTACTGAATTTTAATTACATAGGCGTGGGGGCTCCATAATCTTTCAGAATTTGGAAGCTCTAAAGGTCTTAATTTTGCCCTGCCCCACACCGCCCTAGAAACTTCCTGTCACCTCAGACCTCAGATTAACACACAAAGTCTTTTCCAAATCTGGGGTCCAGGCTGAAGCACGGAGGATGTGTTCTATTTCTTACTCTACTGCAGCCTACTCTGGCTGTTTCCCCTTCTGAAGAACCATACAGTCTCACACTTCACAGTGCACAACGAGCAGGAGTAGGATGGTGCTAATTGGTGTCTCTAACTTAGTAGGGAAACTCTGTAGGGAGAGGGAGTTTTCCTGGACCACTGGGCGATTCACTTTACATGAGGAAGTCTCTCCATCAGATGCAGAAATATCATGTTTTCCTGATTCTGGCCTTGACCCTTACCCCATCTTCTGTTGCTGTCCTAGGAAGCAAAAATAAGGTCCAAGGCCTGGGAACGTGAGTGTTTGACTGAAGCTCCACTTGGCCTCCCAAGCCCAAGCTGGGTCGCACTAGGTTCCCTGGGCGGGGAGAAACCTAGGGCAGCTGCCAGGAGCAAGATGCCTGCCCAGCGGTCTCTGGCCCTCACTGGGTTGGCCAATGGGAAGGGACAGCGGTGGGGTGGGGACTGCCTGCCCCCATGAGTACCAGGCTGCCGAGGCTGGACCATCTCCTCACTTCCATGCTGACTGCAGTCTATGGGTTTGATTCCACACCTGAGGGTAAGAGAAATTTGATTAAAGTTCCAGGCTGGGGGTGGGGGTGGCTGCCCCGCAGTGGGGCCTCTGGCTGTGGTGTGCCAACATTGTCCTGTGATAGCAGGGGTGGGGATGGATACAGGCAAAACTCTGGCCAGAGCAGCTTCCTCGGTTCTCTCACAGCTCCAAGAAAAAAGAGACTCTTCCTCTGGTCAAAATGCCTGGTACCATCTTGAATTTTGCCCAATTCACTCTGGAGCAAGATGCCTACCCAGAGATAAAGTTAGGATCAGCGAGGTGTGAGGGATGGTCCAGTGACAGAGTCCAATTAGATTAGAGGAGAAGGGGATCAATTGTTTCTCAAAGAAAGAAGCACAGGAAGAGGCAGCTTGGAAAAAGCCTGAGCTTGGACCTGAGGCTGAGTTTCGCATCCAGACCTCCCACATGATTCCACTCTGCAGATATTATTGAGCAGACTCTATGGGCCAGGCACTGGGCTGGGTTTAGGAGATGCCAAAACGAGTGAGCATGGTTGTTGTCTATAGACGTGGGGGAATCTGTAGATAAGAGAATATCTGCACAGATGTGGGGCTATCTCACAGAGTGACTGAGAGGTTCAAGTGAGACAAAGTGAGAAAAGGGCCTGGCATAGACTGGGAGCTTATGAGCAGTCTTATTTTTAGAGACATTTTCTGACAGAAACAACTGGATCTACCTGGCCTTTGTCAAACCCAATTCTGCTTGCCCCAGTGAGCACAGTGATTCAGGCATCCTGGTTTTTTTCAGCTGTAGATGCAGAGGTCAGAGTGGGAGGTATTTTAGAGATCCTACCAGGCCATGTGTGTCAGAGGATGTGGCTCCCTGCTCTACGGAGGTTCTGGTTTTCAGATCAAGCCTTGCAAGGAGTGCAACCACCTCACTCTTAGTGACTCCTTTATTACGGGTAAGGCCAGAGCCTCCTGACAAGGTTGAGGAGCAAGGGAAGCCTTTATGATGGCAGAAAATTCCCAAAGGAACATGAGAGTGTCAGCTTTGTTCTTGAAGCAGAGCAGGGGAAGGGAACCCTGCAGCTTAATTGGCAGTCCTTGTTTCTGCCCTCCCGTAATTCTTGAGGAATTGTAAAGAGAGACACAAGACTTGCTTGTTGTCCTTTCTAAGGTGGCTGTGGGGACAAACTTTTCACTTACTCCTTGTGAAGCCAGGAGAACAGCAGCCTCAGACACTTGCCTGAGGTTAGGAGGTAGAAGCTTTGGAGACTAGGAGCTTTCAATCAGGAGGAACTCCTTCATGTGGAGAGAGACTGATTCTAAAAATGTGGTAGAAGGATGATCTGCTTTACCAGTTCCTTGAGAATACGTGTGTGTGTGTGTGTGTGTGTGTGTGTGTGTG